GAGACGGGGTTTCACCGTGTTGACCAGGATGGTCTCGATCTCTTGACCTTGTGATCCACCCGCCTCGGCCTCCCAAAGTGCTGGGATTACAGGCTTGAGCCACCGCGCCCGGCCCTTTTTTTTTTTTTTTTAATAGAGTGCAGTTCAAGTCAGTTTAGCTGGTTTTCAGTGTCAGTATAGAACAAATGGTAGTCAGCATTTTTTTCCTAGGAATTGTTCATGTGTTCAGTACTTAATAAATTCTTACGGGTTTGAATGGGACTTACTGTGGTGGGATCTGAGCAGGTGATTAAACTTCTTAAGTGTTGTTTACATAAAGTGCATGAAGAGACAGATACTGCACGATTTTTCAAAATTCTGGCAGTAACAGGATTCAGAAATGTGTTTGAGTAGAAGAGGGGAGTAGATAAATATAAAGAATATATTTTTAACTTCCAAAGTAAGAACATTTAAAAAGCAAATATAATTGGCCACCACATGTGGGTTTTTCATCGTTTCCAGACCATCCTGCACATGACTGTCATATTAATTTTCTGAAAATGTGACTCTGGCCACCTGTTCTCGCTCCTAGAGAGGAGAAGGCCAGGGCCTTCTGTCTGCGCCTGGCAAGGCATGGTCTATGCCACCTCCCCATGGGCCACATCAACTCCTGGCCTCACCTTCCACCACTTCCCTCCCCTGGGGCCGTGGGTCCCTGCTGCCGCCTGAGGTTTCCTTGCAGTTGCACTCCTGAGTTCTTCCCTGGAAACGCTCTCTGCCTCACTGACTGTGAACAGACCCTGCCACGCCTTGAGGCCCAGCGTGTGTGCACCTCTCTCTCGAAAGCTTTCCCCACGCTGCCCTTCCATGCAAAGTGTGTCCTTCCCCGTCTGCCTCCTGGCACTTGCGTATCCTCATGACCCTCATGGATGCCATTGACTCCCTTTACTCTGCTCCCTCCTGTACTGACTAGCGTGGCCCTTTATATGTAGGCAGCTGGTGTGGGGCGCATGCTTTTCAGATTGATTTAACCTTGTAACATCATGGAGAGAAAGTGAGACACAGACAAGAAAACTGAGGGTGACTTTGAAGGAATTATTGTAAAAATCCAGGTGGAGGAATTCCTGTGATCCTCCAGTCCCTCTGGCAGCTTCATGACAGTGTTTGTGAACTGTGTACTCTATTCAGAAGGGCAGTCCTGTTGAAGGTAAATGTCAGGGAATTTCTGCCAGAAAGGGGAGATTTTCAGTATAATGATGCTCTGAAACCACTTGTGTCTGTGAGAAGTAAAATCAAAGCCATTTCTGCCATTTCTATTCATATCTTTAACATCATAAGTTTCTTCCTTAACTCTTTGGTTGTGATTAATTTAAGATGGGAATTTATATTCTCACCCACCCCCTTTTTAGTACAGGTTGAGCATCTCAAATCTGAAAATCTGAAATCTGAAATGCTCAGATCAGAAGCTTTTTGAGCACAGACATGATGCTCAAAGGAAGTGCCCATCAGGGCATTTTGGATTTGGATCTTTGGATTTGAGATGCTTGACCAGTAAGTATAATGCAAATATTCCAAAATCCAAAAAAAAAAAAAAAAAATCTAAAATCTGAAGCGCTGCTGGTCCTAGGCATTTTGGAGACGGGGATGCCCAACTCATATGACCTTCCAGAGGAGTGACATCTATCAATCAAGCAAGAGTCATCCTGCAGTACCTTCCTTTATTATGGGGCCGACCACAGGGGCAGGCACTGCACTTCCTTTCTTAAAGCCTAGATTCTTATTACCCTCTGTGCCCCCTTCCTTTTTTTTAAGGTGGAGTGTCCCGATCTGTCGCCCAGGCTGGAGTGCAGTGACAACATTTTAGCTCACTGCAGCCTCTGCCTCCCGAGTTCTAATGATTTTCCCACCTTAGCCTCCCAAGTAGCTGGATTTACAGGTGTGTGCTGCCATGCCTGGCTAATTTTTGTATTTTTAGTAGAGATGGGGTTTTGACACGTTGGTCAGACTGGTCTCAAATGCCTGGCATCAAGTGATCTGCCCATATTGGCCTCCCAAAGTGCTGGGATTACAGGTGTGAGCCATTGTGCCCAGCCTTATTACCCTATGTCCTATAGTTTCTTGTTCACATGCACTGTGAGCTATTGGATTTTTTTTTTTTTTTTTTTGAGACAGGGTCTTACTCTTGCCCAGCCTGGAGTGCAGTGGTACAGTCACAGGTCACTGCAGCCTGTACCTCCCAGGCTCAGGTGATCCTCCCATGTCAGCCCCCAGAGTAGCTGGAATTACAGCCTTGTACCACCACACCTGGCTAATTTCTATGTTTTTTGTAGAGATTGGGTTTTGTCATGTTGCCTAAGCTGGTCTCAAACTCTTGGGCTCAAGTGATCTGCACGCCTGGGCCTCTGGATTGCTTAGGTTTTAACGTGAATTCTGCAGTGTCTTTAGTTTGGTAATCTTTGTAGATTGCTGCAGAGTAAATTAAATTATTCATAAAGAATAATGTTGAATAACTTAATTATTCACAAGGAATCATATTGAAAGATCTCATGTGTTCTTTACTCCACTTCCCCCAGTGATAACATCTTGCAAAGCTGCCTGCACCATCACGATCAGAACATTGCCCTGCGTGCAGTCAAGATGCAGCGCGTTTCCCAGGCTCTCTCCTGTGGCCCTCTTGCAGCCACACCTGCTTCCCCCGTCCCCCACTTCCTCAGCCCCTGACCACCACTCACCTGTTTTTGGTTCCTATGCTTTTGTCTTTTCAAGAATGTGATGCAAATGGAATCACACACTATGTAAGGGCTGAGGCTTTTTTTTTTTTTTTTTCTAGCTTAGCATAATTCTCCCACGATTCATCCAGTTCCTCACATGCATCAATAGTTCATTCCTTTTTTTGCTGAGAGCGTTCCGTGGTGTGGATGCACCACAGTTTGTTTAGCCTCGCGCACGAAGGACATCTCTGAGGAGTTTCCAGTTTTTGACTATTATGAGTAATGCTGCTATGAATGTTTATATGTAGGGTTTTGTGTGAACGCAAGCTTTCATTTCTCTGGGATAAATGCCCAGGAGTGCGGTTGTTGGGCTTAGGTTTTAAGAAGATACCTGTTTTCTAGAGGGGTTGCACCATTTTACATTCCTACCAGTGTTTTGTAAGGGATTCATTAATTTCACATCCTGACCAGCATTTGGTGGTGTCCCTGGTTTTTATTTTAGCCATTCTGATAGTTGTATGATGATACCCCTTTGTGATTTTAATTTGGATTTCCCTAATGGCCCCTTTCTCTAATGAACACTTGTGCTTATTTGCCATCCGTGTGTCCTCTTGGGTGAGATGTCTGTTCCTATCTCTTGCCCATTTTCTAATTGGACATTTTAAAACTCTCTGAGTTTTGTTTTATTTTTTTGATCATGGTAAAAGTACAGAAATTTATCACCTTAACCATTTTTTAAGTTCAATTGTGTGTCAAAAGACAAAATTACAACAAATTCAATGTAGAGATATTAATTGGCTTTTGTGATCCCAGAATCAGGCAACACCTCATTCTGTAGAATTCTGTAAAATAGAATGAGTGTTCTCATAAGCTGAGCAGAAGAAGTTGGCTTTGTAGACAGAAAAAGGGTGAGGAAAGCAGACACAGAGAACAGAGAGCAGATAGGTGGTGTCAGAGGGGGAGCTTCCTTATCACGCTGGCCCAAACTGGCCCATTTGGGGATTTGCTGTTCTCTCTCTCTCCTGATTTCTTCGAAAGTCAGATAAGCAGCTTACTTTTGGCTTGGTGGTGTGGAGCTTAGCAAGAGGGCCTCCATTTTGGTTTGGTCTGTTGGGCCTGGTGCGGGAGCTCAGTCCAAACCAGTGTTCTCCTGGTTCACTTTATTTATGTTAAGTTCTGAGAGTCTTCTATGTACTCTAGGCACTAGTCATTTGTCGGATATGTGGTTTGTAAATACTTCCTCCCATTTTGTAGTTTGTTTTTTCATCCTCCTAACAGGGTCTTTAGCTGAGCAAATGTTCTTAACATTGATGAAGTCCCTTTTATCTATTTATCCTCCTATGGATTGTGATTTGGGTGTCACCTCTAAGAACTCTGCCTAGCCCAGGATCCCAAAGATTTTCTATTTTGTTTTTCCTAAAAGTTTTAGTTTTATGTTTTTCATTTAAGTCCCTGACCCATTTTGAGTTAATTTTTATGTAAGGTGTGAGGTTTAGGTCAAAATTCATTGTTGTTAACTATTACTGCTTTTGTGGATGTGTAATTGCTCCAGCAACCTGTTGAAAAGGCTAGCCTCCTCTCTTTCCCCCACTGCTTTTACATCTTTGTTGAAAATCAGTTGGGGTTCCCTGGCAAAGCTGCAGATATTTAAAAAAAAATCAGTTGGGTGTATTTGTTTGGGTCTATTTCTAGGTTCCATGTTTTGCCCCATTGATCTGTATATCAGTTACCCCTCTACTAATACTGGATGGTCTTGATGACCATAGTTATATAATAAGCCTTAATACCAAGGTGACTGATTCCTCCCAATTTATTCATCTTTTTCAAAATTGTTTTTCAGAGTTGTTCTAGATCCTTTGTCTTTCCATATAAATTTTAAAACAGTCTTGTCTAAAGCTACTAAAAAATCCTGCTGGGGTTTTGTGAGGAATGGTGTTAGTAATGGAGGGGGTTGAGATCATTACTAGGTTGAATCTTCCAATCAATCCATGGACATCGAGTGTCTTTTTCTTCTTTATTGAAAGCTTCAGATGTGAAGACAGACGGTTGAGGCCTGGCTGCTGCCGTGCACGGAGAGATGCTGTTCCAGGGAGAACATGCTCAGCAGCAGGATATCAGGTTGCGTCTTGGCTCACTTCTGCTTTGTTTGTTTTTAAATGCATAGGCCTATGAAAGGAGGTTCCCTACGTGTCCCTTGATTCCGATGTTCGTGGGCAGTGACACTGTGAATGAATTCAAGAGTGAAGATGGAGCTATTCACGTCATCGAAAGGCGCTGTAAGCTGGACGTGGACGCGCCCAGGCTCCTGAAAAAGGTAACGCAGGGAAACGATGTCTTGGAGGGTGGGCCCCAAAGACAGCACGAACTTACCTACAGCTTCTGTGTAACTGGATGTTATTAATAAATGCTTTTTCTCTTTATTTCTTTTTTTTTAAAAGATCGCAGGAGTTGATTTTGTTTATTTTGTCCAGAAAAACTCACTGAATTCTCGGGAACGTACTTTGCACATCGAAGCTCATAATGAAACGTTTTCCAATCGGGTCATCATTAATGAACATTGCTGCTACACCGTGAGTAACCTGTCATTTGGTGGAAGATGTTCCGCTGATGCAGGACTTCTGGGGATTGTTTGGTAACCATTTTAAACAGTGCTTCTTGTTGTCTTAGAGGGCAGTTCTTCATTAGATGTTGCTCACTTCTCCTGTGCGGGAGGGAAGGGTAGCAGCTGTGGTCTCCTGCAGTGGATCACGTTGTTGTGGTAGTTAAGGCAGTCAAGTGATGCCTTGAGACAGAGCCTCTCTCTCTTGCCAGGCTGGAGTGCAGTGGCGTGATCTTGGTTCACTGCAACCTCTGCCTCCCAGGTTCAAGTGATTTTCCTGCCTTAACCTCCAGAGTAGCTGGGATTACAGGCACGCACCACCACACCAGGCTAAATTTTTGTATTTTCAGTAGAGACAGGGCTTCACCACATTGGCCAGGCTGGTCTGGAACTCCTGACCTCATGTGATCCGCCCCTTGGCCTCCCATTGATTTGTTTTTAAATATTACTTTCTTTTTCTTTTCTTTCTTTTTTTTTTTTTGAGACAGAGTTTCACTCATTGCCCAGGCTGGAGTGCAGTGGCACAATCTCAGCTTGCTACAACCTCTGCCTCCCAGGTTCAAATGATTCTCTTGCCTCAGCCTCCCAAGTAGCTGGGATTACAGGTGCTCGCCACCACGCCCAGCTCATTTTTTATATTTTTAGTAGAGATAGAGTTTCACCGTGTTGGCCAGGCTGGTCTCAAGTGCTCTCCTGACCTCAAGTGATCCACCTGCCTCAGCCTCCCAAAGTGCTGGGATTAAAGGTGTGAGCCACCACACCTGGCCTTAAATATTACTTTCATATGCCACTTCTTTTCTAGTCTTACTGTAATACGTTAGAAATAATCTTCACTGCTTACCACCGTGTTTCAAGAACTTCTGTTATCAGATTTTTAGAACCCTCTCTTGCCAGATAGCTGTTTCTCCCTCCTCCCCTGCAGTGTATCCTCAACACTGAATCCAAAGTGATGTATTTAAACTGTGTCAGATCAAGTCACTTCTCTGGGCTCAAAACCGTGAAACATCTCCATAGTTGTCCCAGAGAGTCCTTACGGTGGCTTGCAGGGGCCTGAGTTCTCTCCTGATCATGCATCTCCTGTCCTTCTGGCTGTCATGCCGTGAGCCTTCCCCAGGGGCTTTGGCTCCAAGGCGCTCGCTGGGCCTCCCTACAACTCTAGTCTCACCTCCTCCCGTCTTGGCTCAGGTCTCCCCTTCTTTGCCAGCCCCAGCCACCCATTTAATTCTGCAGCCTGACACCCCAACCCCCAGTCTTTTTTTTGTTTTGTTTTTTCTTCAGAGATGGGATCTTGCTCTGTCACTTAGGCTGGAGTGCAGTGGCACAATCACAGTTCACTGCAGCCTCCACCTTCCAGGCCTAAGTGATCCTCCTGCTTCAGCCTCCCAAGTAGCTGGACCTATAGGCCCATGCTACCATGCCTGACTAATTTTTAC